TCATTTTTTTTTCCAGATTGTCTCAAACATAGTGTACATTAGTAATTCTCTCTACTGTACACAAGTTTGTAAATAATTTCAATTATATCTGCGTTTCTTGTTATTTTAATGAAATATTACTGGTTTTGTTATGAGAGATACGGTTGTAAATTTTTGTCGATGTAATACTATGATTAACTGTCGATGACGCTGTCAATCTCTAAGCTGTGTTGATCTAAATCTTTCTATATGTGTTTACTGCGTAAACCTATACCTTGTTCAAGTATCAGTCAGATTTACCCTATATTTATCTTACCGCTGATTCTCTCATGTTTAGACCAATCCAAACCCACGAGCTCAATTCTTCGAAGGAAGTGAGACTAATAGCGTCAGAGAAGTTACTACGGATCAGGGCACGGTGCGGCATAATATCTTGTTCCGCCATTTAGCCCGACTAATCACTTTTTAGGCGAGTGAGGTATTTTTTGGCGACGTTGACCATGCAGACCAGGTGGCAGGTGGCACAGCCGATGAATCTTCTACAGTCATGCTCGGTGATGTTCTGTTTGTTGATGCAGATGGAAACGAAATTATTCAACGAACTACGGCTCTCCCGGATGGGACTATTCAACAGCAGTATTTGGGACAGGTCTGCGTACTACTTTTCATCCTTACACCCAGCTATACCCGACTGTTTGATTCATTCCTACAGTTTTCTTCATTTCAAATCAGGTTTCTTGGAGAAGGGCACATTCATTGTTTGAAATCAACATTATTATGACTTTAGGCTAAAAATGGCTACATGTTTTATATTCAGTACGTTATTTTGGGCCTTTACAACTGTTTCTAGCAGCCTAGGACGAGAAGAGCAACTAATATAATAATATATATTTTCTGCACAATTTCATATTGCTAAGCAGCATGCCGACATCTCGTGCACCCAATTCCAGCAATCTAGAGCGAGAAGTGCGAAAAAATAAATGAAGCAGAAATTACTGACATTCCTAAGAGAGGTAGTCGTGATTATATGACCTACCTTTGCAGCAACCCCACTACTGCAAACAAGAAGTGCGAATGTTAAATTCTAAATCCATAAACAAAATGTATTTTTCTGGGAAACGGCCTATGTTACCCACAGTAGACATTGTGCACATGTGCAGGTTTGGTCTGGTTGGATTGAGAAACATCAAAAACAATACAGATATACCCATACGAGGATGTGCTCGAGTAATTTGCATCTATACGTTTGAGCGCTAATGAGAGCAGGTGGAAGTTTTAAATAAACCACGAGTTGAGTTACTTGCACTATTCCCAAAATCAATCAATACTTATACTCAATTTCTCCGCAGAATGCTTTGGTAAAGCAAAGAGTTCATTATATACGGCATTTAAGTATTTTCTGCCAACATCTAGTATACACACTGCTCAGAGCCGTGTGGAGAATCCAGTTAAGAACAGCGCAACTTTCATAAGTTTCATCGTAATGAATGATTCATTCTCCCTTGATTTTCACTACTCAGAATTATTTGACTAACTCATAATAACTACTTCCAACAATGCATGCGTCTCGAAGTTCTTAGACAAATCAACTGCTTTGAAAGAAATACTAGGCGAATTCAGCACTTTTCCATCACATATTGTCTTTTCAGCTCCAACTTCTATCTTCAAAACTACACATTTCCATTTTTCATGGGAAAAACTCCTCATCATTCCAAATCCACAGTTTAGATGTACTACGATCTCTTAATCTTCATTATCAAGAAAACAAAAGCCATTTTATCCCTCTATTGATCCTCAATCTTTGAAATTCTATGTAAAAGTCAATGTTCGGGGCTCCGCCTCGTGACTTACTCAATGGGGATCCTTGGTGAGCTAATTAGTGAGGGTGACCAGAGCCATGGCTCCATATATCCAACCTATGGAAAGCGGTGCAAGTTTGAACATCTGTTAGTAAGTAGATTCTCCACCGACTATGCCTAATACTTTAATCTGGGATTGCTTATAAGAATATGCTGAAAATGAAGGCTGATCACTTTTGCGTAATCTGGGACGCAGGAACTCTTGTCAGTTTGATCTCTCGTTTTTCGAAGTACGCTTTTAGCAAAAGCATTTATAAAGGCGCAAAGCGAGATTACAGCTTGAGTCGTGGCCATTTGCGAAAAGTAAGTTCGAATCCGTCAGAGTATAAATGATTTTTTGAATGAGACAATTTCATTTTATTCATTTTGCGAAATCAAGCCAAAGATTCTGTCGACGCGTACAATCATACAGATTCTGGATTTCTTGCTACTGCTTGTCATAGGAAGCGGTTCAGGCATTTTACAAAATAGATCTGACAACGAAATCTTCTGCTTATTAATGTCGTATATCTTCGATTTTCGCGCAGTTAATCGCGCACCCGTATAATATAGTAAATAC